CCCCCCCACCACCACCACCACTCGAGAGCTAAGAGGCTAAGCTGTCGAGGGTCCGGCGGCGTGTGTACCCGTCTGACAGTGCCAGGGAAAGTCAACACGCTGATGTGCAAGGTCAACACACAGTACGATTACTGCGCTGCTTGCTCGCTCGCCTACTGTGCCGCCCCCGCCCCCGCCTGGATGCAGGCAGATTGAATGCGGGCGGGGCGGTCAGGCGCGACGAGAAGCGACGCTCGGCAGCGTGGCGGCCGGCCTGCTACAAATATTGATATTCCGTATTCCGTCCGTCGGGGCTCGGCGTGACAGCGGCGTGTGTGGACAGCGCACGTGTAACGTAGAGCGGCGCTGCGACGCGATCAGGGCGGGGAGGTGCTCAGGCGCCGCCGCCAACGGAAGGTGAGAGCAAAACGCGTGGCGCTGCAGCTCCACCCAAGAATCCAGAGCTCCACCCAAGGGCCAGAGGCGCGCTTGGAAACATACTACGCATAGAATTGGTTTTGGTTTTCATGGGATTGTTATATTCTCCAGTCCATAATTAAATCGTTTATTAATTAGCAAACAAATATTTACGTCATTTTACTGCAACTCAGACAACTCTTTATAATTAACGCTATAAATAATCAATGACCAATGCGAGTTTTTTAGATTAATGATTAAAAATTGAATGAAAACAACAATATTACGCAAATGTATTCATTTAAAAAGTAAAACATATAGCATTGAGTATTTATCTAAGCGCTCGAATAGTTTTACTTTTGAATGTTAAGTTGGATAATGGAGTTTCCTTATGAGTTTACAATTTCAAATGTGTTTCATCAAATAATTGGTTATTTTACGGATTCATTAACATTTCCAGACAGTAAAGGAATAATTCTATCTGTCTTTATTTTATAATAAAGAACCATGAATTACACTGGCACATTCTGACGTAATTATTAATAAAATATGATAAACTAATTTGAAAAGTATTTTGATGTTTAGAGAATGTCTTCTTTTCACTAAAAGGAGCTTGATTTGTTGTCTACACAATTTTGGTAAGAGAGTAACGCCATATCTTAAACACATACCTAAAGTCAATCTCTGCTGTCTACAAAACATGTGACATGCCCAAGATAAATTGGTCCAATAAACATTGCGCACGTTATGAGTGTATTACTAGATATCAGATATGCCATCGTAAAAAGTGACTAGAATAACGATGAGCTCAAATCAAACTGCTTGCACGTGTCCGGCAGCTCAATAAAGCACCACTGACAAGCTCATCGCCAAGAGCAAAGCGCGGGAAGGCGTAAGAATGGGCGTTCGCAGCATCTAACGCTAACTGAAGCTCCCAACAAAGATACGTAAATACAAAAAACATTTCTCTGGCAATATGCAAAAAATCGTATTCGAATTTTTTAAAAAAAAAAAACTATTTTAATTGGAAGTCCGAGTATAATAAACTCATTAAGAACGTACAATAATGTTAATAAATCAAGTAATATAAGGCGTTCATGTAGAATTAATACAGTGAACTTTCAAGGAAACAAGAATATTGTGTCAAGAAAACAGGAATATTTGCAGACCCAATTCATAAGATTGAAGTTTATACATATCATGCAAAGGCACAAATATTCATATTCAATATACAAATAACTGTTTCACGTGACACTGTACAATTTTCTTTTATAAGTGTGCAATTGTATTTTTGTTGCAGACGCTATGGATTGCATCGCTATGTATTTCCGACCCGATTTTCCCCACTTCCGGTGGATTCGTGAGTGGGCGGAGAGCGAGGCTCCCGGACGGGCTCCCGGGCGGTGGGCAGATTTGGGCAACGGAGCGCACTGCCTTCTGGCAGGGGCTGTACGCCAAATGAGGCAGAAGTGGCTTAAGTAAGAGCACGTGCACGCTGGGGTCAATCAAGGCGCGGTCGGCTCGCTCGCGGGGCGGCAGCGGAGGCGGAGGCGGCGGCGGCGGCTGATGATGATGTCAGCCCGCGCCATTGTTGGTGGCGACTGACCGGAGCGCGTGACAGTGGGCCGTCACAGGCCGCACCTCCGATGCTCGCCCGCAGCCCAGCCCGCCCGGCAC